ATAAATATGACCGGCGGCCGCTTCGTATCTCGTAAATCGCTCGAAATCTGTTTTATACGAAACAGATAATAAATAAATTCGAAGGCCCCGGTGATCTCTATGCATATAGCGGCGGCATTACGCAATAGTTTGATTTATTAGTTTCGGCAAGGTGCACGAAATTCTAACGGCTCACCCTCCGAGGCGTGATAGAATTTGGATGGCAAATTCTCTACGGTATTGTCAATAAATCCTGTCTGTACATCTGTATCCATGCTTATATAAAACTATCAACTATTATATATTACATTATTTTTAATAATTTAACAAATAAAAAACATTTTTATTATTAAATTAAGAATAATTCACACATTAATTGTTAAAAAAATATTCTTTCATAATTCATCAATCTAACACTTATTAGTAATAGCAAAAAAAAATATTAAAACTAAAAAATGTAAAATAAAATACAAGTGAATGTGATAAAATATTTAAAATATCAGTACACGAAGTAGTGAACAAGCACTAGTCTTTTCATATATGCGAAAAACTACCGAGATAGGCCGGCGGTGATAAATGTGAGGGAAGGTATGAATAAATTTGGCCGGTTGCGCAGAAATCTGAAGTGATTAGGTTAGATACCTTGGCCGGAGCAGGTGGGCTTGACTTAGTTGCTCGCACCTTTGTACTTAAGCACTTATAACTTGTTACATCATAAATTATACTTGACGGCCGATATTAAATATAATTTTTTTATACTTAAGTTACAACATTTATCTATACATTAAACATAAAATTATTTGTTTAGATCGACATATGATATTGTAATTATAACAGCTTATAACAATTTATTTAGTTACAAGTTTATGAAGACATTTTATGAATCAACAGAGAATTGACACAAGCCTACTTTTAGTACAAATTAATTAAATTAATCTTACTTATTATATTACTAATATTATAAATGCGAATGTTTAAATGATTGAATGTTTATTTGAAGGTATCTCTGGAACGACTCAACGGATCTTGATGAAATTATGCACAGATGTAGAACATAGTCTGGAAGAACATATAAACTACTCATTAAGTACTTTTTTAAATTCGCGCGGCAGAGTCGAGGGCAACAGCTAGTTACTTATAAAAGAAAAGTTTTGATTAGCATTGCTTAGGAAATTATTATTATTAATAGTACAAAAATTATTATAGATTGGTGTATATTCTTAAAGTTTTTCTGAAAGGTATGATAGGGGTCAAACATCAATTCAAACGCCACTGAATTGTAATAGAAATGTGTAATTAGCTGGTTATCTTACCGTGGGTTTCTGAGACCAAAATCCCCGATAGATAGGGGTGACGATATGTTTTGTATAAAGAATTAGGTCTCAAATAAGTCCCGAAACAATTAACAACCCTTCATATCATTCTTGGAACATTGGTTAAATGTGAAATTTCAATTATATTAAATTTAATTTTATTATTAAATTTTATTTATTTTATTTTACTTTAGTAAAAACAAAAATAATAAACAATAATTTTAGTTTATAAAAATATGCATTTTCTATAATAATTATTTTGTTATCCTTTAGTAAATATTGCTTGTATAATTTGGTCAATATTTCTTTTCATTTTTTTTATGTTATGTTTATTTTGATTAAATATCAATATTATTATCTTAATTCTTAAAAGGTTTTAAGCCATTGTTGAGTTAAAGTAATTTAATAACCTTACGTTATCAAACTGAAACAATACCAGGTGTGCCATCTGTCGTTAAACGTCGACAACTTGTGAAGCTAGACCTAACTTTTGAGTCGTATCTTTTGTCTCACTTGAACGTAATGTTTCTTAATGCTTATATCAATCTATATGTAATTTCTTGTTATTAAAATTATGATTACAAATAACAAATTTCAACTCAGATTTCTAATAAATTTCTCCGTCGATAAAGGTAGGCAACGCATATGCAATTGCGTATGACTATAGGCAACGGTAACATCGCTATTTCAGCGATTATAGGTGGCCACTCGTTTCCCACCTTATGATATAAAAAAAAACTTCAATTTTTTTAACAGTAATTTATTTAATTCTTATATTAATAATTTAAGTTCTTGTTACTTACCAAAATCTCTGCAATAACAAAGTTAATTTGTCCATCCAAGTACTAGGTCGTATATAATGCCGTAAACTTATGAACTTTATTGTATAGTGTCAACTAATTAGAAGCCGTGACTCCGGCAAACAATTTTATTGCGGCAATCATCTGCAAACTCTAATCTGTATAAAGGTGGGCACATAACTATAAAATGTATTCGAGCATTGGTCCCGCTCGGCCGGTCCGTTTGATTGGTTTCGGGTTATTAGCCTCTATTTGTATTGTCAATGTTTATTGCTGTTTTATGTGTACTAGCGGTTTTATTACTCATTCAATTGCTATAGTGACGGATTTGATTAAGTAAAGCCGTACTTACGTTTTGTTTGTCATCGTGGTTTATTTTTTATTTGATTTCATCGTTTTCGATTTCCGAATGTTTATGAAGACAATTATATTTACTTACATAATAACTGTCGCCTGTGACTCCGTCCGCGTGGGTTTAAAATAACTTACAGATTATGTTCTACATCTGTGTCATATTTCAGCGAAATCCATGCAGCCATTCTGGAGATACCGTCTAATAAATACATATCTATATATCCAAACATTCGCATTTATAATATTAGGATGAAAATATCAGTTTATTAGATGTTTATTTTTTAAATGATGACCAACACGCATTTGGCCAGCGTGGTTGACTATGGCCTAGTCACCCTTGATTTAGGGTAGGCTCCGAGCCCCTCGGTGGGGACGTATAGTGAGCTGATGATGATTACAAATATAATATCTAACTGTTTACATCAACATAACTCCATTACCTGTCTATCGCTGATAAGATTTTTATTATTCAGATTTTGTTCAAGATTTTAACAAAGATAAAATTTATAAGTAATCAAATATATTATTATTCTCTTTTTGATTGTTTTATTACTTTCTATAATCATTTAGTATCCATCATTAACCTGCCCTTATCCCTAAGGAGGGTCGGTACAGTATAACTTCTCCATACATCACAAACAACCGTCATATATGAATCTACCCCTTTCTTTCACACAATCCATCTATACTTTCTTTGGTCTTCCTTTGTAGCCATAGTCACATTAGTATAATGAATTAGTTTCCATCCAAACAATAACATATCACTTAATGTTATGAAATCCATTTATAACAAATAGTTGATTGATTTATTACAATAATATAATTAACCTCTGATCATTTTAAATAGTAACAACTATTAATCTTTCTCTAATAGTTCTTGACTTTTATATCGGATAGCATATCTGTTGCATATTTTAAAGTATCCAATTGCTAGGATTATTATCCTAATGGATAGGTTTATATTTGAATCTGTATACTATAGGTACTATCCTATCCATTTGTCTAGTTTTGACAAAGATTGATTTTATAAAAGTATGTGTAGTCACAGTAGCAAGTCTACGTTTAGTTACTGTCAATCGCTTAGATTAAGTTTCAAAAGCTCTGTTTATCTTCAAGATATTTCCACCGGTCCATTAATTAAACTTCCCTTTTAATTAATTTAAATTACGACTCTCCGTATGCTGGGGTTCTGTATCTGACGTAGCTCTTAAAATTCAAAAAAAGTGGTTCTTTTATTAGCCTTTAAGCATTGTTTAAGAGTTAAGAGCTGAAGGGTGGGACCCTTTTTTAATATTCCCGTTTTACCGAATCATTATCGACTTTTTCTACATTCAGTTGGTTATTCACTTTTAAATATTAGGATAATGGTTGTATTTTGTTTTTAAGGAGAATATTATTATTACTTATAAAAATACAAAAATTTTATGCATTAACACGTTGAGCGCCACACATATTTCTAAGACGATCTCGTTCAGGCCACGAGCACCGCTTATACCCACTGGTATTAGAGGGCCGGTGTTTCCGATCTCAGTACAAAATAGTTTAAATTTCTAACTTAAAATAGTGTAAAATTTCATAGTTCTCATGTTATATGCTGTCAGCCATCAACGGTTGACGCGACCTAAACAGAAAATCTAGTGTCAGCCACCGATGGCTGACGTGGCGCTCAACGTGTTAAAAGGATGATAATAATAATTAAGTTTAGAGGTTATGTGTTGTTAGGAGTTGAAATAAAAATAAATTGTTTTGAAATAAAGATTTAATTACAATCGTTACATAATTTTACTCATAATTATTATTAATAGTTGCATATTCTATAAATATCTATATAGAACATTTATTATTAAGCGAATGTATTCGATTTGGTCACATCATTTAAACGAGTCGTTATCATATTACCTGTTTATGACCAGCCTCTGATATATTGCTTTTATGATTCATTAAATTGTATATTGACCTACAATTGCAATGGGATAAATGAAAACTAAACAGAACATGCACAACTACAGTTTTAAACCAGATATTTAACGCTACGAAGATATCTTAACGATAATGATAAATAATCTTATAAAATCTATTATCAAATGATGTACATATGTGCATCTTTTTTTTTCTCTAAACAACACAAAGCATCTGTGAAATTCAATTGAGTTAAATTCAATATTAACACTACTTAGAGTTCCAAGCTAAGAGGTCTAAGGAGGGTCAATCTTTCATCTTGTTTCAATGTAAAACAGGTTTGTTTTGTCGCTTACAATCCGTATATATGGAAGTCGGATGGGAACAACGTAATATAAAAACAAATCAACCAAATAATGCTTAGGGTTTCCTTTGAAAAATAATGACCACATACAAACATATTTAGGATTAAAATGCATTTTCAAAATACAATTTTTACTACTAAAAAATTGTTATATTTAATTTTTTTTTAATTCGTATTACAATTAAAAATAGATTGCGTAAGATTTGAAAATAATGTATTAATCAGAATATATTTTATTTACAGATATTCTAATAATACTATTAAAAACAATATTTATAATTTTCATCCGATATTCTTTAAAACAACTTGGAAATTGCAAAAAAAATAGTCATTACTTTGTACACATTTTGTGAAACTAAAAATAGAAAATCTACAAAACTTTTTATCATATGTACAGGGGCAACAACAATTATTAAAAATCGATATTCAGTTAATCGATTCATCGATCTAGATATTAACAAAAATAAACACATGGCTGGTGTCAATCTTAATTATATTATAAACCATTCTACTTGTGTATTGTGTGTATGAAACCTCGTGATTCTTTCTACGTAAAATACACTTACTTCTATCAAAATTATTATACTCGTTAACTATTGAATAATGTGCCAAGAAACTTTTACAAACAAAACAAAGTTGGAAGAACGAAATTAAGGGAAATCATAAAATATTAACTTAACTTAAAATATTCCTTTTCGGAATCAGATATTTACTATAATTTACTAAGTCCAATAACTAATTTCGTTTCCACTTAATTTTAATTGCGCATTCCGTGTACCTATTTTTTTTTATAAATAATTTGGATAATAACTCCATAATATTCTTAAATCTATAAAAAATACTGAGCAACGTTGATTTCGTACAATGATTTTTAAGTACATAGGACAACTGTCGATGTTTGAACCTCAATAAACAGAATTTAACGAAATATTTTTACAATACAGATATAACTATATCGAAATATGTCTATCAAAATCATTATTAAATATGAAAACCGAATTTACAGATTTTTTTGTAATTGCCAGAAAGATAATTTGACAAACATATCTCGAAAACAAATTTACTTTATAGATCATGTAAAGGAAACACGTTTTGCCACAGTGAAAATTCGATAGTCCCTAAGGGTTTGTGGACAAAGCTGCATCCCAAATTGCACGTGCTTTACCTGAAACAATAGAAAAAAAACATGATTTCTCAACACAAAAACATTAAATGAATCCACAATATCCTGTCTATTTACGAAGTCAACGTATTTTAAGATAAAGGTCTCCTCTATAAAGAATAGCGGTATTTAAATTATCGAAAAAAAGACGGTCCGAATCGATAGCTGTTTCGATTCTATCTCGCCGTCGCCGGTCAGCCCTCCGCGGCGTTCACACATAACGGCCGAAAAAGAAAAAATCCAAGCCAATCGAGATGAGGTGACGAAACGTTCAGTCTCATTATCTGAGAATTTATTAACGAATCGCTCGGACCGGAAAACCGAAATGTGAAAGAAATAAAAATTCGACCTCGCCCGCGGTCATCTTAGCTTTGTACGGCGTCAATGAAAAAAGAAGTCGAACAGGTTAGCCGGGTAACTTGCGACTGAATGAAACAGGGAAGGACCCGAGGATCAACAGATAAGAAAAAAGATTAGGCTGTTGAAAAAAGTAAAGCGGCTTTAATGCCGAGGTAGTGTTGTGAATGAAGAGACTCCATTGAGATCGCGCCCACGCACGTTCGCCGTGCGTTATCTGGCTCGAAGGACCAAGCGCTGCCGAGCCGCTTCTCCTCTCCTCACTTTAGCCACTCCGTGAACAATACTCATTGTGCATTCATAAATTAAAGTTTTTTGTCTTATGGACTCGGAATTCTGGCTCCGTATTATTCAAATTAGATATAGTGAACAACAGAATTAGGAATAGGTGTGCCCCGAATAACAATAAAATTACCTGTTCTCCTGCTAGGCGGATAATTATATCATACTTAAATCTTTTTATTTATACCGTTTCCTTTTTTCTTTTATATCTTTAACCAATCGTGATTTTTAACGGAGACTTTAAAAAAAATGTTGAAATTTTTAATTTAATTATATTTTACTTTATAAATATTCCAAATAAGCAACGAATAATGAACGAAGTTAACTGGAAATAAATTATATTAAAGAATGTCGCTCCGATTTAGTAGCGATATTATTTGGGCAAATAAAAACGACACAGGTATGTTACTTAAGCAGAAAACAAGAACAGTCGATTCGATTCGTTCTTTTTTCACTCCTTTAAAGGAATGCCGCGATAAGGAATTATATTCGCGTCAAGGAATCCGAGGGATAAAAAGGCGTGAAAACGAAAATAATACAAAAGGTTATAGATGTGAATTTGTGAGCGTTTGGCTAAAACAGAATTCTTGGCGCAACCGCCCTGTGCGGTGGCCGCCAACTCGCGATTTATTGTAATGAGACGTGGATGCCTCTGCCCCTTCTTAGAAATCCCTCGAGGACTCTTAGAAAAATGCTCCTAAATGATCCCAAGTGAAGATGAATAGAATTTGTCTTCACACGGTGCTGAATAATCTAGCAATCTATTACAATGTTTCTATTAATTTACATATTTATCTATACGAATCAATTAAATCATCTTTTTAAAATTAATAATAATTTATCTTAAACGATAACATGGCACATCACTTCACAATAAACTGTCGAAAAGGGTCTAATTCGTTTAAGTAAAAGTCGAGCTTAATTTATGCCTAAACTTTATAACTCAGCTAAAGATAAACCAAAGTAATTAAATTGACCCAAATAAATTAACTCACACTATCAAACTTTAGTCAACTAGTAAAAGTTTTTAGATTTCATATTTTGTACAGTTATTTTAGATTAAACTAAATATTTATGTCCGGTATAACTGCTAACTTGATTAGTTTTTTATTTTTTTTATTTTAAGGAAGCGTCCGTTTCGTATTAGGTTCTAATTTGGGTAGGTCAGCGCGGTTACGTATGTAGGTGTACGGCGCGTCTCGGTGACAATGACAAATGACGTAAGATTGCAATCTCGCCAAGCTCGCCCTTCCGACTCGCTTCCATTGTTTTCAATTACCGACATGACACCCCAACGCGAGCCTACGCCGCCATCTTGTAACTATATGGCTTCATCGATATCTTTACTACGATCATCCATTTACGGCCGCGTCTCTCATTTACATGGGACTCTGGGATCGGGCGCTCAGCATCATCAATTTGAATCAATCAGTAACTCACCGCAAGTGGCGCGCGGTCCGCGTTCAGACGGCTGACACGAAACCGTTGGAGTAGTGCGAGCTGGAATAGGAAACATTCACTCTTTTCACGTGTTGTTGCTTTTTTTACGTTTTTTAGAAACTCCTATTGACTAAAGTTTGAATTTGAACGCGTGGAGACCTTATACAGAATTAAATACGGATATAAAAAAGTGATAATAACCTTTTATAAAACGGCTTAAATGCGGCCGAGCCTTCGTTATGATGCGGCTGGTTGGGCTGATGGTTATTAGCGTGGTGGGGGTTGTGGTAGGGATCGCGCTGCGGCGACTGCTGGTGCCTCGGGAAGCAGTAGCCGGAACCGCCGCTACCGAGAGGGTTCGCCACGCTGGGCACTTTCATGTTAGGCGGTGTCTGCGGCGGCGTATCGGTTTGTACATCGGGGAATGCCGCGGGGTGTACACACGGATGCTGGCCGTACTGCCCGGTGGGAAAGCCTCCGTACCGGCCGTAAGCCCCGCCGGCCGGGCTGGCGGCCGTTGCTGGCAGTGCGAATCCGTTAGCACTTCCGTCGACGGGGGCGGCGCGCTCGGGCACCGGTCCGTACGCGTGTTGCGGCCATGGTTGGGCGGCTGGCGGAGGAGTCTTGCACGCGGCCGTGTCGGCCAGCGACCATATCTTCGGCTTTGATGCAGGTATTGGCACTCCGCAATCTGAAGGCCCACGTTTCGATTCCTCTTTGATCCCGTAGCCGAGCAGCTGATGATGCATACCCTGCAGCAGCTCATCGCTCTTCCGCTCCTCATCTGTAAAGATTACGCATTCATTGATCATATTTAATGTTCGACACGCATGACAGCAGATTACCGCTGCAGAGCAACTATCGTAACGACAATAAAGAAGCTTAAATCGTTTATTTCGCGATCGATACGCATGTCGGCATGACCGTTACACCGGAGACGTAAGTTTTTAGTTGTAGCGAAGCGAAATCTCGGGCTCCCTTCGGGAAAGTCGTGTGAAAATACGTTTGTCGTGCAGTGACCCATTCGTTAAGTGGTTATCCGATTAGCGAAGTGAAAATACCACTTTGGGGCGCGGCTCCCCCCGGGCACGGCGATCCCTTTCGCATTTAAGCCGAGCATTTATTTCGCATTTCCCGGCGCGCCTGCGGCACCGCACTTCTCGCCGAGGAATGTGCGACCCACACAATTAATGGTCAACCTCTTCACGCTGTTTTTCCTATATTCATATTTAAACAAATAGAATATAGGTAAACCATCTATTTAAATACGATGATTAAGAACTATACCTGCTTATTAAAAACTTTGCGAAAAGTAGAATATATCGTCTCAAAAGCATCTCTTACTATAAGTAAACGTATAAAATTAAATTACGTCGTGTACGTAAATTAAGTTGCAAACTTATTGGTAACATTGAGGAAATTCTTTGGAAAGATGAAATTTAAAAAAAATTACATGAATAAAGTTAAGCTGACGGTCGATTATAAAAAACATTGTTATTGTGCAATTACCAAAAAAAAATGTTTATTCAGTAAAATTTTATAAGTCTTTAAGTATTATCACAATGCCATTTTGTGTTGTAAAGTGGGTTTCGAAGGGGTCGGCGCGGCGCGTCGGCGTACGTAATGAAATTCAGAGGCGCGCGCGGGCGGGAGGTGCGAGCGGTCGACTTCATTCTCTTTATTCCATTTAATGCTGACTGCTCATAGCTTTTAAGAGGGGTTATCCGCGTTGCCCTTCACTAGGGATAAATAGGGATGCCACTGATACTCGGCGCGAAGATATTTATCCAGCAAATTGTTTTAATTTTCATTGTATTAATGTAATAAAAGGCCACAACGACGCAGATAAGAGGCAGTTCAACGATGCCTTAATACCTTAACGATATTTTCTTTGCGTTAATTTCTAGTCTGTCAATTAATGTATACTTTTAACCAAGTTATTTAATAATAGCTATTATTTCTTACTTTTCCATTTATTTTACTATGACTTTTTCTGTATTCTTTTTATTTGAACGGATCTTTTTATTTTTATCACAAAGTGAGTGAAACAGAGAAGGGACGTAGGGAAAGTGTGAGTATCGTCATTGGTATGAGCGCAATTGATTTATCTCGTCTGCAGGCGACATCGCGAGGTCGTGGAAATTGTAACAGGCCGTGCACTCAGCTTCGCGCCGAGCGGTTTTCCCCTTTAGTCACCAAAGCCGGGGGCGAAGTGGCGCATAATAAAATGCGTCTCGGCCTCGAGGGGCGCCCCTGAGCCCTCTAAGACCCTCTCTGTCGCACTCCGACGCAGCGTGCACTTCATAGTAGCTCACTTCAATTTATTACTTCTCCGAAACACACTTGTTTGTGTTACTTCTGCACTCGTTTTCCATTAACGCGCACGGGATTAATATTTTGTTTGCGACGCGCGCTTACGACTGAAATTAACATTTATTGGTGGGGTCCGAATATATGCTTTTATTCATGAGCGGCTTAGCGCGGGATAGTTCTGTATGATTGTTTGTCGACGACGGCGGGGATCGCGTGAGAAAGCTTTTATATTGGCTTTGTTTGCCGTGACTTAAAATGATATATTACACGTCGCTTACATTGACATTTTAGTTTGGCAGTTAGTTTCGCAGTGCGCGAGGAATTTTATGTTTTGTTTATTAGGGATTAATAACAATCTTGATGTTAGTAGTAAAGATCTTAAACCTTGCTTGTTTCAGTACTATTACTTATAATGCTATAATAAAAGTCAAATTTACCATTGTCAATAATTCTTATTTCAAAATTAAATTTAACTTTAATATACGGTTTGGAAGGTTTATTGTATTTGAGTGACATAGATTTAGGATAACACGGAAACTAACATCTTGTTGACATTATACAAATGTATGAAAAATATAATCGTAGTATTCCGCAGTTAAAAAGATTTTAACGCGTTTAAACTTACACTGACTCTCGTATCATTTTACTGTTTATATTTTTTTAAATATTTGGTAAAAAAATATATAATACATTAGGAAACTTTTCTTCTCTCATATTAACAACTAACACAGGGTTGAAGGTAAGTATACTAGTTGTTTTATTTTGCGCATTTTGACAGTTTCAAACGCACGCATTCGATGAGCGTTTACAAATGTATGCGGAATCGTTCTGAATGGTTCTTACAACGAGCATTAAAAAGCGCGCGCATGAAACGCCCAATAAGTAAGTGTAGACAGCGGAATTGCAGGAATACGCCTCTATATAATCCTGTTTTCAATGTTTAGGGGCAGTTTGCGACATTTTTGTCGCAAATGAAGAGGGTTGTTTGGAGTTCAAAGACTTATAATAACTAGAAGTAATTATATTTTATTTTTATGTAAGAAAATAAATCATCTAACCACCTGGATGAAGGGCGCCCCATGCTCCTGGTTCCTTTCGATCGCCTTCTTTGAAGAATTTTTCGACAGATGGCCCATCGTACGCGGACAACGGAGGACACAAAGTGTGGAAAGCATGAGGAAGGCCCATGTCCAGCAGTGGGCAAACTAAGGCATTGATGATGTTTGTAAAAAAATAAACGTAGACGTAAAGATGAGTTCAATCAATTGAAATAAAATTAATAATTATCTGTTGCCTTTAAACACGATTCAGAATGGTTTTACATATATTTTTAATGATATATATATATATATATATATATATATATATCAAATGAAATTGAATAATGAAAATAACACTTTATTTAATTTACAATCGTACCTATAACCCACGTAAGGATATTTTATCAATGTTATCGACACGGTTTCTATACAATATAATACCTACATAAACCTGTTCATCGAACGTGTGAAGTACCCAATGGTGAATACTTGTTACCTTTTTTTGAGAGACACTTCCAGTGTTTTATATTTGGCGAGGCAAAGCGCTCCCATGCATCTCGCCACTTTATTGTTGCCGTTTTATGACCCCCGCTGCCGCTACTCGAGACCACGAATTAAGTACACTCCTATCTCGACAATAGTCGGCTTCATTAGACGACGTGCGCCGCGCGTTAGGCGTGACGCCCTCGCACTTCCATTAGGCCCGTGAAGTTTGCAATGAAAACACTCTCGCTCCAAACCATATTTATTGTAACAATACCTACTTATAATTTATACGTCGTTGACAACCACGACTAAAGCCCTCACGAGCGGCCTCCCACGCCGCGACTGCATTTTATTGCAGTCCGATTTTTGTGACGTCCATAAATCTATTTCACGTTGCGCCCGCCCTGAGAATTTATATAATGATCGAGCTTCAGCAAACTCTGAGCGCATCGCTCGATACTACATCGGAATGTTATAAATCCCCAAAATCGTACGTACTTAATGTTTCGCCGGAATATCCTCATAAAAGAAACGATCCACGAACTCGACAAATCCTTTGGCAAGAACATGAAGTAGGGCAGATCGTCAGACAAGCTCGCTGCTACCTCCAAGCCCCTTGTAGCAACGAACGGAAGAAGCGTTATATGAAATTTGGTCCCGGGCGCCGCCCACTTTACTACGAATAGGAAATCCGGGAGCGAGGAGCGGTTACGCACAGTTACACGCCTGAGACCACCCCCCCTCCTCCCCGAGCCCTGAGCCTGCCCCCCTTACCACGTCCCCCGCGCGCCTCCTCCCTCCTCCCGTCTCCTCGCCGGTTGCCGCACACCCTCCGGCTCAGCCGGGTTATGCCAATTCACTCGACGATTTATACACCGACAAAATTAAAGCAATTTAAAACGTTTAACAACGCCGGCTCAATTCGGACATGAAAATAACACGCATCTACTAAAAGTATATTAACCGAAAAAGCAATTCGCATTCGCTGTTGCAGATAAAATCATACATTGCACATAACACTACATGAAAATACAATTCGCAGGGTGATATCACAACAGAGGGCGCAAAATTGGATTAAACATTATTCCAACAACCGGCAGTCAACTCGTTAACTGTGCCTGAAAACTTTCCATTGACTACCGGAGGTTGTTATAATAATCAACTCAACGAACCTTTGTGGGGTTTGATTTTATCTTCCTGATCGTCTTTTTCTTTCTCCTCATCTGACAGCATAGTGTCGTCGTCTTCGTCAGTTTTGTTCTTCGGCTCCCAGGTCATTTTGTTTTCTTTCTTAAGGCGACGGCGCGCGTTCGCAAACCACGTGGACACTTGTGTGAGCGTCATCTTTGTTATGATCGCCAGCATTATCTTCTCGCCCTTGGTGGGGTATGGATTCTTCTTGTGCTCGTTCAACCAGGCTTTCAGAGTCGCGGTGGACTCCCGCGTTGCATTCTTCCTCCTGGCTGCCAAATCGTACCCAGCTCCATATCTGTCAACAAACACACTTTTATACATATACCTAATGGTATAAAAATGTATAACGCTTCCGGCCTTTATGCAACGCAATAAAAATATTACGTTTCTAACAGAGCCACTTATTTCAAGGAGACTTCATTTATAATTTAAACGTATAAATGTTTATAAATAATATTTATGTTAATGCAAATAATATTACTAAGTTGTCGTCTAGAAGTATAAAATAATAATCAATTGCCGTAAATTATTATTATTGCATTGAAACATGAAATCTGGATGTCATGCGTCAAGCGGTTACTAGCGAACAATAAACTGGCTTTTGAACTCGCAACAGATAGGCGTTTTATTTGAGGCAATAGATTTCTCGTAATGGCAGCAAAAATAAAGCCATCGTGGCACCGAGCGCTGTTCGGTACAGTTTTTAGGGCCCGCCATCCCATTTGAATGCTCATTTTGAGAGTAATTGTGGCGGAACGTTCCTTTCCCCTCCTTAGCTTACCTGACTTCGATTTCGACAACATGACAAAGGCGCGGTCTAAGGGGCCCAATAAATAGATTTCTCGCATAGGAATAGTTAAAAAACGTCCCACTTCAGGGCACGTTCACGCAAATTGCGGCACTCTCGGCGCTTTTTAAAGTTTATTGTCGCAGGAATTCAGCAAATACATTTCTACTACATCGTAAAGTAATAGATAACGGATACTCTTTGATATATTTTTTATTTTTTAACTAAAAAGAAAGATTAGGTATTTTATAATTTAATTACTTAGTTAAGTTTTGACAAAAACCTGTAACAACAGTAGCGTCTATCGGCATTTTTATAAAGATTCTAGTATTAATTTTTTACAAGTTACAAGCTCAAATCTAAATTTTATATTATTTCCTAAAACTATATGAAGTACTTATGTACTTTATCAATATATAAGTCTCCATAATAAATAAAATATGATATTTTGTTAAGCCATTGATAGGATTGTGTCCTGCAAAATTAGAAGAGCAAAGAGGTGCGATGGTTTCATTAATGAGTAATAATAAAATATTTTATATTAATTGTTTTTTACTTAGAATATTTTGTTATCAAGCTGTCAGCGATTTTAATAAGCTTCACTCACTCATAAAATATTAAGTTGATGAGGTATAGGTTAAAGTTGTAAAGTAAGCATAAGCGTATATGACGGTTTTTTCAGCGCGATTTTAAAATCAGAACTGTAGGAAAAGTCGCGATAATTTGTAATCTTTCACAGTCCTGAAAAACGTGAATTGAATTTCCACGACAAAAAAAAATCGCGCGATAAAAAATAGTAGTACGAGTTAGTCGCGATGGTGAATCGGTTAAGATTGTCACCGTCAGAGGGCGGTCCGGTGTCGATGCACACCGGTTGCAATTGCACAGGGCGGCGCAGCGCAGGCGTGTTAACGTGGGCGTTGTGGTGCTATCGATTGCGAGACGCCATCTTGCCGGACAACACCGGTATTACAAGTCGGACGGCCGGCGGCCGCGGCGGCTTCGTACGCCGATTTTGCGGTTTTACTTCGGATCTCGGATTATATGGACGGCTCGACTCAAGTTTATTTGCCTGAATTACGTACAATTTTCTCTATTTATACGTTTAATTTTTTTGTAGTAAATATGTAACATAGATGCAAGTTATTTCGTTATATAAATCGATGTTGTAGATAGTATATCAGTATGGCTTATTTTCATTTTGGTTTTTAAATGTAAATTAGTAGTTGCTTCCTCTCAAATTAGATTTCAACATCCGTGTATTTAATAATCTATTTAACAAAAATCTCAATTCCTCTGCATGTTTCATACTCTGCATACTATAAAAAATTACTGGCTGACGGTATACGAAAGCAATTCGACTATTTGATTTTAGTTTAGTCATCTAATTCACTTATTGTCAAATGCTATGACAATTTAGTTTATAATATTATATCAATAGATGGCGGAACATACTGTTTAGATCGCGGTATAAATTTATTTAGTATATTCATCGACTTGCCGATCGCATTTATTTAAAGTTGACTCGATATAACCAGTGTTTCATTGTGACTACTCGATACATCTCCAGTGAGACGGAGACTTTTTGAGACTACTTTACATTTAAATAAATGATTTTAATAACACTACGATGAGTAAAACAAATATAAATATTTAACTTCACTATGGCTACGTTCAAATATGTCCTATTCAATTTTTATTTTCAATATTTATAAGCATTTTTTAAACCCAAACTGTACATTATTAATTCAAAAATGTTTCAACCATATCAAGCAAATATAGTTACAAAATACGCATATTCTATTTTTAATCATTTATTCTAAAGCCAGTTATGTCAAGCTCTTATAAAAATATCGATTTAACTGAACTCTATTTTAACCATAGTCAAAATATATTACTAAATTAATTAAATTAAAAAGTAAAGTATACTTTTTATATTTTTAAGAAATAAATAAAATAAAACAGAACAGTTTAAACACTATAACGAAAAGTATAAACACATTTCGTTCAGATTGAAGTTCATATTTCTTAAATTACTATGTGACATTCGTATAAATAAAAAGGTTATATCTGAATCTGTCTGAAAAATATATTCAGAGAGAGCGTTTGAAACCAAACCGTATTATTTATACACGAATAAGCTCTTGAAAATCCTCTGCGGTTAACAAAGACGGCTGGAAACTAAAAACTTAGCGCTTTAAAGCTCATATCGCTTTACGAAGTTAAAAAAAAATTCAAAGGAATTCAGCGCTGAAGCTGCTACAAGTGATGTTTTTGTAGGCATCCTAATTAATTTAGACAGGCCACTTAAAGCCCGCTTTTAAATCGTGTGGTCGAAGCATTTGCGTCATTTAGACAAATATGCTATTCATTTTATATTAATATTTCTAAGCAATTACTATGAAAAATAAAAGCTTTTTCTTTACGCAAATAATCCTATTCTATATTGAAATTGAAAATTCCAGTCACTGTTTTAATACTGAAATTTATTGCGTATTTGCGTTGAATTTCGTTATTTTTATATTTTAGTGTTTTATGATATTGCTAATTAAAAATATTATATAATATTTTTTTTATTAAATACTTCGTTTAAAAAAATAATTAAATAATTTTTCTAATTCAACGAATTTGAAATAATATATTATTAATAATAATATTTTAATAATAATATTTTAATAATAATAATATTATTAAAATATCGTTTAAGACCTCATAAATGAACTTTAGGTATCATAACTGATCTTATTTAGAGAGTTCTTATGAAAATGATTATTGCACCCTACTTTAAAAAAGTAGTGTATAAAATTATCTCCCAACAACGGATATACTCTGTGCTTGTTAATTTGGGAACGAAAATGAAACGTATACGACACAGCGATGTGTGTGTGCGCACGCGCATGTGTGTCAGACAAATGGACGGATTAATTCGTTTTGACATTTCCTGCATACGATAATTCCAAATTTAAAAAACTTTCATGACTTTTAAACATATGCGTTATTTAAATAGCTCCTTTATAAAGAACTTACACAGATTCCCTTTTAGGCACTGAAATTATGACTTACTGTTCGAGTTTATATTAGAGAGATGTTATATGAAAATAGAAATAAATTAGTCGGGAATTTGTTATGAAATATGGGAGAATGAAACTGATTTTATCTTAACTTTCTTTTGATTAATAACTACGGTATTTCTTAGTAGTTTTCATGTCATTCATCTCATGAAGCTATATGAAATTTAACAAAATGTTTATGACACAGTGGAATTCTTGGGAATTAATGAATTTTAGTTACTTAATAATATTCAAGGATCCACAAAACATGGATGAGAAATCAAAACAAAAAAAATACCGGTAAATTCGACTAACTCTTCCGTTTTATACATAAAAGGCCAAACCTGGACACTAAATACGTCTACGTTTGATACACTATGAAAAAATTACGTTTACAAAAATTGTAAGTACATACCTACTTATTATTAAAAATGTCATTAATGGAAAACAAAACACGATTTAAACCATTAATTTTAATTAAACCTATTTATATAACGCTATTTTTATAGACAGAGCAGAGTAATGGAATAGTCGAGAATGGAAGTAGGGAAAAGTGCGGTTGGGCGGGCGGCGAAGGCTACGCTACATATTTGAGAGAGCATGCGTTCGATTCGCGGTATCAGAGGTTTACGATCTGGCCGCTTGGGGGAATTGTGGCTTCTCCGCACCCTCCCCCGTACAACGAACCTACCTCTATGTACCCGATTTCCGTACATAAGTACAACCTCCCCACGCCGAGGGAGCCTCGGGTCGTTTCGAATTAGAAGCGAGAGGCGAGTAACCATTTCACATACATAATTGTTACGAGATGAGTACACTTGACATAATATACAACTGAGCTTGAGTGATGTCAACTAATCCATAATCATGCACTGACATTAATTACGTAGATCGTTTAGGCACCGCTCAAGCGTTGCGAAGTCCGAGTTAATACCGTGTCTCAGTACAGTTAATCACCGCGATAGATTTATTACATACCTCTTGTTAGTTAAACCAAATAATGTGTTAATTTATCAAAGAAAATCAAGTCGATCGTAAATCTAAAAGATGGAGCCGTTTAAATGTTACGTATCGTTAACAGAAGTTCTTATTTGGTTGATTTAAAACGTAACGGCCCAAATCGTTGGCACAAAAATAATGCGGGAACGGCGGCTGGCGCTCGGGGCGCCGTAATTTCCTGCGTATTTTGATCTCAATGGTACGTTACAAGTGCACCCTCCTCTCTTTTCTCTAATTTTTGTACTTTTTTCTGTGCTCGAGACTTGTGTTGAAAATAGCTGAGTAATTTTTCATTTCGGTGTGCGGCGGGCGTGGCGGATTACAGACCGTTCCAAATAATACTCCAACGGTACCTCAACTCAAGTGCGCCTACGTCGCGTCGCGCACAACTTTTGTTGTTTCTGCAAGCTTTTCGTACTTGTTTCTTTGTTTCATTATTTTTTTTCCATCCGGATAACTTACTGCGGCTGCCGTTACGTTTTATGAGCCTTGTATGAAGTTTTTCTTTTCAAATGAATATACAACAATTTTGTTCGCGATCGTATTTTATACTTGCAACATGAATTTGTCGTTTCGCGGGCGAACGCTTGTTTTTGCTTATTATAATTTATGACAGTATCGCCTGTTAAGTTGTTTGTGTAAGTTGTGTCGAGTAATAAATTATAGCTCAGGTAACGGTACGGCATCCTATGTGTAGGACGCGTAGTGAACAATTGTATGCGCGTATTGGAGACGCAATATATCACGGTGTATTTCCGTACGCCTCCCGAACCGATGCTATCTCTCCGTCTTTTTTACGCATAAAAACTAATGTCGCCTCTAATTATTTTTAGATTATAACGCACCGCTTGCTATATATTACGTCCAACGGAGCCGAATTGTCAGCATAGCTCCGCTTTGATGTATCATGATTTGTTTTTATTTCCAGCCACTCCCAACTTGATTCATGAATCGGATAAATTTTCGAGTGCGCCGTGAAACTTGCATTTAATTGATGCGCCCACATTATACGCTATTATGGCAGCGCCATGATCGCTTCTGTTATATATGACAATTATAGTTTGTGGATACGATTCGTTGAATAAAATACGGCGTCGAAAGGCCATTTGACGTGCATTGAAAACATCAACGCATCGGGTTTTGGTGATCGAGTTTTCGATGAAAAACTGTGAATTGATAAAGCGCCGCTCGAAAATGGTAGCGGGTGTTAGTGATTTTCCATTCCTCTCACACTTAGGGCGTAGTAGAAGCAGTGCGAGTGAGAAAGAAGGGCGAAGAAAAACCGGGTGTGGTGCCGTGGACATTTGTCCTTCGCGGTAAGTATGTACTTCTAAACATAGGGTCAGTTAGTTGCGTGCTTTCCCCCGACCTAAGGCACGGTGTTAATTTGAAAAGTATTATAAATGCCTCATTAAGGCTTTTTGACATATTGTATAAATAACTTACTAGCCACGCACCTAATTGAAAATACACGGAGTACGTACATAACAACGTTCTTTTCTTGTCACGTTTATATTTACTTTGTGAATTCTCTTGATTTATGGTACTAAAAATATATAATTGTTTTAGTCGTAACTATGATAATTTGTCAAGTTTTCATGAACTAGCCAATAATTTACTTTACTGATATTACATTATCTTATTTAAGAGTTTTTTAGTGATTAATTAAGTATGTTTTGTTAGCAGAATTTATTCGTATAGATCTTTGCCTCAACTAAAATTATCCTACTAATTTAAATTAATACTCCCCACTGGAATTTTTTCAAACTTTCTTTGTTCGATTGTTAACGTCTTGCTCACAATAACGAAACGGATTATTTCCAGCACACCTAAAAACCCTACATCTGTTACTTTAAGTATTAAAACTTAACTAATGGTCATCATTATATCTAGTTAAGAACTAAATGTTAAAGCGTGACTCTTAAATCTTTATATTAATAGGACTTTATTTAAAATATTAATTGTACCAAAAAGTATAGATAAAAAATTAAAAATGACAATAAATTATGTCATTAGAAGTCTCCTCAAAAACCGTGGCTATGTTAGGGTGCATATAAACAATTACATTCAAAGGACACATATGCACAACATAGATTAGCCATTAAAGTCAATGCGAATTGCGAAACAAACACGAGCCTTTCGCACAGCCATCTATTACAGTGAGATAAGTCCCGATAGGACGGTGTTATGTTAATCCGTGTACGTCGCTGGCTTTATCTAAAGTGGCGCGAGCTGGTCGTGGACCCATGGGACTTACCCGTAGGCAGCTAGCGTGGGGTCGTAAGGGTAGTAGCCACCCGAGGGTTGCAGACCCGCAGACGTCCAAGCCGACATCTCTCCACCGCTCTCTTTTAACGCGTACGGGTTACTCTGAAACACAACACCGGAGAATGAGTACCAAATATTGTTACACTTATTTCATTTATTTATTTATGCAGTCCATTTAGTTACAAGATTTATGATATCAACTTGTTATGGATACAAATACTGGGGAAGTATTTCTTTAATAAAGTACATGGAATATTCAAATTTTGTATAAATATAAGTGTTATTGTTGTTGCTGATTTAAAATATCAATATTTACAATACAACAATTCAATGACCACCCTCTATATTAATTTTAAGGCTACAAAATTGGAGATATTGTCGCATTAAATATCAACAGAAACAAATCCTAGATCGCCACTCAGACTGTACAGATACATATAAGAGGCTTGAGGTCGACACAATACCAGGATGTAAAGTTTTTAAATCATAATTATGATCCTTAAATAACTCAAATACAACTGAAGTTTAATCAACGCTCAGACAGTTCAAGTACAACGTTTAACAAAGCATGATCCAAAGTGGATATAAATCACAACGTATAATTCCTTTCAGTCAATCGGCCTAACAAATACGCTGGCTTAAATTTAATTAAAGCCGACTTAATAAAAGGGAATAAACACACGAACAACAATAAAAGTCCCAAGTGTACTGGCTGACATATCACTGGAGCATTTGCATAATGTATGGGTACAGAGGGGAAAACTATTAAGGCCTACGGGGCCCCGATGCGTGATAGTTGTTTAACTGTGAGCTAGTGAGTGCGGGAGGGAGAGAGGGCGAACCGACCCTCTTTACTAAGTTATTCGCATACATTAGGAGCAACTAAATTAAAAGTGTGAATGATTCCGCGCCTCGGGATAGCAGGATAGCGACCCTTGTTTCTCTCCCCCGACGCGTCTCGCACAGTCTTCTGATAATAAAACGAAATGCATTATGATACATATGGAGCACTGGTTGTGAGGCAACACGATAACTGAATAGAGGTGTCGGCCCTATTTGTCCTCCCCTTGCTTTTAAACCAAGAGAAAATGCCGTGAGTCTATTGTAGCAGTGATTTTTCTATCGTTACGTGCAAGTTACTTGGTTCGCGTTATTAAAATGTTTACGTAGTAAGTGATTATGTTGTGTATTGTAGACGTAAAACACGGCTTGTTCAGTGATTTAAAATTGATATAACCGTAATGATGCTTTAAACGCCCGAAAACAATTGCGTTATTCTAACAAAATAATTTAAGGCTCTACTTAAATTTCAATGACGTGTGCATTAAAAAGCACTTAAGTTTCTACGATACGTTAGTGACTAGAAGATAGGTGTTAAATTATACCTAAGCCATTTCGAACATCACTTTTAGGTATAACCCGACGTCGACGAAGAGTACCAAATTGCTCAACATTTTCATGTATTTTCGTTTACGCCTTATTTATTGCGTTTTATTCTAATTCTTAAAGTGGAAAGTTGGCATTTAATAAATATAAATAGGCAAAAGTTGGATGCTACTTGGCTTGTGTTTGGAGCATTGTTGAAAAATGGACCCTCTACAGTTTTTCCATGAACATCATTAATATCTATCGTTGTAGAACAGAATATTACGATCTCGCGGTTTTCCCTCCGTCGAATAATCCGGTGACAAATTCACAACGACAACTCTTTTGTGGGGCCGCGATAAAAATTGCGCTTTTCCTGTCCATAGTAGCTTGGTGTCCGCTAACTATGAGTGATGATTGGCGCGCCCCCCGCATTACCGACCCCTGTCAGACACGTGTCCGAACGCGCTTTCATTATAATGATTGCGACACCAAAATCTTTATACTTTTGTGGTCGATTTTTACATTTCAAATTCAACTCTAGAGTAATCCTATTTCAATAATAAAGTAGAAATAATTTTATATTAATGTTTTCTTTTTTTTGCCGACTTCAAAAATGAGTAGGTTATTTATCTGCCTTAAGTATTTTAAATCTTATAGTGTTTATTAAATGAAAACGGAACGGTATTGTTTTGTAATCAAAAGTATTTCAGCAGTAATGTTATTATTTCTATTACTAAATTTCGTACCACCATCAATAAAAAAGTAGTTTATGGCCGATTTCGGTTTCACTAATTACTCTGGCATTTTTATAAGGCTTTTTAACAACGGGGTCATTAAAGGGATTTCTTTGTTTGTTTTTAAGACCTATTAACAAAGGCCCTGATACCGCAGCGGAGTTTTCGTCTAAACTGTTATTGCAAGTTAACTATGCGATAAAACTCATTTATTAACCCTTAAAAATCTTATCCGACCCAATTCACCCCCTCTCTTCCGTAAGACTGAATCTAACAACATTTTAATCAATTCTCCACAGAGTTCGCGAGTCAGCGCGCCAGATAGACTCATTACAGCGACCCCAAATAAATATAAACAGTAGCAAAGGGGACCGCCCCACTATTAGCGTTATTCACACGCGCCGCTAGATCCATAAATAAGAGCCAACTACGACCCTTGAAGTGAAAGTAGGAAAAAAACGCAAGTTCACGTCGCAATGATCCGCGCGGCTCATAAATATGCCTCGTTTATTTCATTGCATTAAACTGGTGATAAGTTATTTGACGGTTCATAAAATACGGAGTTAGGAGGCGTGCGCTAGCGCTCGGCGCCCGGTATGGCCCGAGGCGCCGCGGCGGCCCGCCGCTTTGCCAAATCGACGCCTCTCCATCATCCCCCGCCTCAGCTTCCTGGCGGCCTGGCTACCGTGCACGCCGGTTTCACTTGGGGGCCGTGTTGTGTGATACCATTTTCTGCTTCATAAAGTGCTAGGATAATGATCGCTATGTGCATCGCAAGCCAACTCCGTTGTACTGCTGGAGTTGTGAGTTCCTTTATAGGTGTTGCTTTTGCATACACCTTCTTGATTGCTATGTGTTAAACTTGTCTAAACCATCCAGGCTTCTACAGTGATAAAATATAATACTGTAAAGCTTTAAGCAATTCAAACTGTTTACATCTTATTTGATAGTATGGCTACAGAGAATCAGTAACGCGTTAAAATTCTAATTCTAAGTGTAGACATTATGTTTTAACACTCAAATACTGATCGAAAAAAATTTATTTCATTTTCACATCTCGCATTATGAATAAAGTAATTGTGCGTGTGATATTAAAAAAAATATTCAAAAATAAATTAGAAATGTGAACCAAAAAGGTGTAGAATTCCATTCAAACGAACTACGATGATATCCACAGATAAAGTGAATGTGTGTTTTAAACTTTATTTCGTTGCAATAATTTATAGTTCCGAATTGTAAATAAGTATGAAAGGTGGTCAGCGGTTCATGTGTTATCTTGCCAGCTGTATCACCGCGGGGTACTAGGTTTGGCGACCTTTGCCTCGCCTACGCAATATAAAACACTAATTTAACATTCTTTATTCAAATTATCAGTTCCGTAACGCATCTGCTAATGTTATTTCATACTTAAAGTAAAGAATAATTTTTTGACCTAATTACAAAAAAATGGTCCAGTTTTTCATCATTCAAGAAATTATGATCGATTACAACTTAAAAAACGTATTAATGTAGGTTAAAAAAGTAAAAAAAAAACCGCTTAATTCAAGCTTTTAGTAGTAGTATTTTATCTGTCGTCAATAAAATTTCGACAGGAAATATAACGATCGAAATGTCTATTTTCGAACATTCAATAAGCTGTGATTCCGTATCGGAAGGTCTATTTTCAGATATTCAATGCTCTGCGATTTAAAATTTCATGTAACTGGCAAACGACGACTAGACTTTTTTCTTTTTAATTGTTAATTACAGATATATTAATTTAAACAAACAAATGTAAAAAGATTAAGAAATCTGGACTGTATATTGGCGAATGTAAAATCAATTTGAAACGTTTGAATTATTGTTATTAATTGAAGTGAACGTTGCCTTATAAATAGTGTGTTTGTCTCAAGAAATTGAATGCGTATGTTCAATATTTATTATAAAAGAACATACTGTATGTCACATAAATAGTTTTATTTGCAATAATATTTTCTACTGGTCTATTCTATTAGATTCTTTGTTTTTCATACATGTATACGAAGAGCTATAACTAGGAATGCCACAAACAAAAAGAAACCATTGAGAATTATTCATGCCATAAAATAATAACGATACTCAGCACGACTAGCGAAATCCGAAAGTGAATTGTTGCGAGTGGAAAAAAAGAATGGCTCTAAGTGGATAAAGAGCGAATACAAACGAAAAAGTCATTTCATGCCGCACGGTGGTGACGCTAACTATGTCCGACAAGGGATTTTGTAGTCTGGGCAATAATATTTAAGAGCCACATTCGCAAGACGGGAAGACAACGTGGCTAAACTCAATAAAGCTTTTCCCCCAAATAAGCCATAAAACGAGCAACGGCCGCTGGCTCCGGGTAGGTATGCTCCCGTTCCAATTATTTGTTTGTGGAGGCACAATAATTTTATTTTACGTTTTATTTAACATTTATTCCGTTACGGCAATTTCACGGGTATCAGAGAGTAGCTAGATTGTGATTTAAACGGAATTGCTTATTTTCCACTTGGGTCGCAATATACCCACTTGATTCGTAGCGTCGGGTTAACATTATTTTATAACGCGTGATATTGTATCCTTTATCCACTCGTGAACTTATACTATCGAAAAATAATTGATCGAATTTAACACAAACTTCTCCGCTTTATCCTGGAAGATGTTTGGAAATGTTTGGAAAACTATAGCTTATATAATTTTATATGAGAAAAGACGATTTCATACATCGTTTCACTTTGAATAATAAGTGAAGGAAGAGAGTGAAGGCAGGTGTGTTGATGGATAGATGTTGGGCGCATCGCGACGCTCTATCGGCTTCCCATAAATAAATAAACAATAAACTGGGATTAAACAAGTCAATTGGAGCTCAGACGCAGACAATGTGCGGTCACGTTTAATAGCCGTGGCCGACGGTAACCAATCGCGGCCGTAATTCAATGATCGTAAACGCTCGCAATGATATCAATTAGACGGGGTCCCGAGGCCGATAAAGCTCCGCTTTAA